TATATATATATATATATATGATATAGTTGCAAAGACAATTAAACTCATATGACAACATCGAGGAGCAATTTGCAGCAGTTTAATCAGCTTAAAATTGCGCCTTATATTTAAACAACAACACTAATAAGCGCAAAGCACAAAAGAGAAAAATGATATAAGTGGTTTTTTTTTTCACTCGTAATAGTCGTAATATTCATAACGATTATTAGTTTATTTCGCACAAACACATTCGTTCAACTATAATGTACATCTGGTTTCATCCTATATATAGCTTGTTAACGGCCCAAATGTGGGCATAACAAATTGTTTCCAACTCATTTGTTATTGCGGCCCCCTTTATACATTAATGGCTCTCATAAATTTCCTCACCTCCTCTCACACCAGCATCCATAAAATCCAATAAATTAACTTACATGCGAAATATCATGCGTTTGGATGAAAACTTTGTCATGAACGTTACGTTATTCTATATGCGGGTATGTACGGGTATATATATATATATATATATATGCGTATGTATTTATCCCCTGAGAATTTTATAGGCAGAGAGTGAAAGTAAAACATTTCTTTCTTTCTTTCTTTCTTTCATTTTTTTTTTTTTTTTTTGTTTCTTTTCTTGTTCTTGTTACTTATCTCAATATTCGTATAAGAGAGAAAGGCGCAAAACGAGTAGTTGTTAGTTGTTTTCAACCCCTTTGTTGCCGTACAAAATGTGTGAAATAGAATTATGGCTTTGTAATACCTTCGATGTTGTTATAGTAAGTAATCTTTGTCGGTGTTATTGTTGTTGTTGCTGTTGTTTGTGTGTTTTTCTTTCTTTTTTTTTTTTCTTGGTTTTATAGCTCACTGTAATATTAAAGTGGGTATCCATTCACTTGAGCAAAGTGTCGAGTGCTAGAGGATTAACATAGCTTTTCTCAACGATATTCTTTTGTTGAATATTTTTTTTTTGCTTACATACATGTATGTGTTCGTTGTTGCATTTATATATTTTCAACTTTGACAATGAAAATATTATGACACTTTAAACGGTATGATTGAAGTTTCCGTTATTTTAATTGGTCTTATATACCTATAAATATATATATGAGCTTCTTTAATTCAGCAAGCAAGCAAGAACAACAAAAAGAAATGATAAAAACGATCTCCTATTATGATTGGATTAATTAATATTTATTTAAAAGTTGTTCGTCTTTACGTATGATGCCGTGAAAAGAAAATTTGTTATAGTTTCAGTAATAACATGAGTTGTCTTCCGGGCCTGTGAATCCTTAATGACACTCACAAAAAAAAAAAAAAAAAAAAAAATTAAAAAAAAAAATCCACGCTAGCCCCCGGCCTTGATAGTTGGTATGATATGATTTTAAAGAGTCTTGAAATCTTTCGCTAATAGGAAAAGCGTTTGCTGAAATAAATTAAGCTAAGTAAAGTCAACGTTAATAATGCATCGGGAAGAATGGATCCTTCTCCGTATCCATACTAGACATGTCTTATATAGTATATAGGAAGGAATAAGACATTCTGTTGTGTAGGCTAAAGGAATAAATTATAGGACTAAGAAAAGGATAAGCACTAGTAACTAAGACCATTGCCTTTTTTTTTTGTATTGCCATGTGCTACATATTAAAGTCAATTGTAGGGTATCGAGTTTACATTTAAAACTTGCTTTCCCTGTGAAATAAAATTGACCTTCGATGTTCATTCGCTCCGACAATTTTGACGAGGTTCGTTTAAATTTTACTTACTTTTCGTCAATATTCGACTTCATTGTGAAGTCGAAGTTTCTTCTGTTATTCGAAAGATAAGTTTCTTTGGTTGCTTCTTTCTTCTTCTTTCTCTCAATTCTTTTTAAAATTCGATCTGCAAAATTGATCTAAGCAAGCATGGACCGAATTTCCAGGTATCTGCATCAATTTTATAGAGCAGAATAAATAAACAAAAGCATGAGCTAAAATACAAACAAGCAAAGGCAAAGTGGAGCGAATGGATTAATAGGTAAATAAGAAGATTAGCTCCCAGATACATAGAGATATTCGCGGACAGATGCACCCACAAATGTCCATGTAGACTCGCGGACGAATGCACGGAAAGATGCAATAACAGATATGTGAACAATTTACACAGAGAAATTGGCGGATGGACGGACAGAAAAACGAATATACTTATAAGGTAACGAACTGTTTAATGGCTGCAGATAAGGAAAAATGGAGCCAGGATTTAGAAGCTTACGCTTCCCGCAACTATATCTTTATGTTATTCTATGCGTATCGCTTTCCTACCGACCTGCTTGTGCTTGTTAATGCATTCATAGGCGTTTTCTTTTTTTTATCCCTTTGCTCATAAATTTTCGTTTTATATATGTTTTCGAAATGAGTTAATTTGTTTTCATATATCTGCCTAGCAAAGAACCCCGCATTTATAAAAACCATTTTCTCTTCCTCTTTTTCTTCTGTTTTTGACTGCTCACAAGCCATGCTGCTTTTCCCTAAGGGCCAGTAAATTTTCTTTCTTATTGTCCTGTTGTTTCCATTATTATGGTTACAGACACACACACACACACACACACACACACACACACACACACACAC